ATCAACACACCAAGTTACCAGACGACTCATCGAGTCCATGCAGTATCCAAAATATTAGGAAATCCCTAACCAACTCATCGTGTTATCTCACTAACTCGCCGAGTCCATGTAGAATCCAGAAAGCGGGAAACCCTCATCCAACTCATCGAGTTGACTATGCAACTCGTCGAGTTCCTTCAGTCATTTCCTCATTCAGACACTTTTAAGCAAAACCAAGGCTCAAAACAGTAGATCTAGCCTCCTAGGGTGTAGTTGCCACATAAAGTTGATAACTTTACGTGCATGTAAGGCTTCAAGAAGCTAAAGCACTCAGAACTAGCCTTAGAAAGAGGTTTAGGGCATGGAGAAGGGCCAAGGCTTCAAAAGCTTGAGGCTTTATGTACACGAGGGCCTAGAGGAGTCTATATCTGAAGTTACAACTTCGAATCGTGTTTAAAACCAGAAATACTTCAAGGATAAGCTAGAAATGACCCTAAACTCTTGAATGATGAGATCTAACAAGAAAATGATTAAGGTAACGACTCTTTACCTCCAAAAGGATGCCAAAACGATGTAGATGCTGGATCTACAATCCATTTCTCGTTCCAAGCTTCTAAAGCTTCAAGTATCTTCAAGAAACACACCAAACACACATTTTTAGCCTCACCACACTGAAAATAGGGGTTAGCTCGATTAGGGTTTGCTTCTGGACGTGAAAAGGTGGTAAGGAGGCTGGAAAGGGGACTTAAGGTCCTTTAAATAGGGTGAAAACCCTAAAGATTAGTGTTTTTCATAAATAGCCTCAACTCGTCGAGTTGGGTCTTCTAACTCGTCGAGTAGGTTCCATATATCACACGGCCTGATCAATCTCTACACGACGAGTTAGGGGTAACCAACTCGTCGACTGGTTCTAAAAATGTGAATTTAAAACTTCAAATTAATACCTGGGAGTTGGGATATTACAATGAAAGTCGTAAATTACTTGAAAATGTTGCTATCGAAGATGGTAGAGACTCTTAGAGTTGGGATTTTGATGCCAAAGGCAGATTCATGCTCAAGAGTGCTCAGATTCATATTGATGAGGTTATTACTCACCTATGTAATATGTCAACTCGATAGAGTAGATGTTCTCCTATAAATGCCAATGTTTTGATTTGGTGTGTCCTTTTAAATAGAATCCCCACTAGGTTGAATCTTGGTAGGAGAGGTATTGAGGTTTATTCTTTGTTATGTCTGGTTTATGATCAATGTGTTGAAGATACAAATCATGTGTTTCTATTATGCGAGGTTGCTCCCAGATTTGGTTTTGGATTAAAATGTGGCTTGATATTAATTTACCTATGTTGATCACTGTTGCTGAGCTGTTGACATGAACATATACAGTTAATATGGCAACTACGAAGATAAAGGTTTTGGAGGTGATCATATTGACTGCTTTCTGGATGCTTTGGACTTAGCGGAATAAGTTTATATTTCAATCGTCCAAAATTAAAAGATGCATTATTTTTGAAAATTTTGTCATTTATTCTTTTGGTTGGTTTACGAGTAGGAACTCCGGAAGTAGACTCAATTGGATAACGTGGTTACAACCCATTGTTGTTTTGTAATATTTTGTAATTTATTTTCTTCTATCTTCTTGTTAGTATTTTTTGAATAAAGTTAATCTTTAAGCTATAAAATAAATAAATAAATAATTGGATATATATATATATATATATATATATATATATATATATATATATATATATATGTGTGTGTGTGTGTGTGTGTATTTAGATAATAATTAAATTAGGTTGGTTCGATTTTTTTATTGGAGCTGAATTGCCATCCAACAATCAACTGAATTAATTTGGATATTGAAAATTTGAAACCATCCAATCAAATTATGTAGGGATATCTGATACGTATTAGTCTGTTTTGAATTAGATTGGTTGGTTTGAATTTGAATTGTATACATTTATACTTTATTAGTTGGAAATATGGGAAATCATATAAATCCCTACACTAATAAAAGAGTAGCTATTTTGTTAAATGTCATCATATTAGACATTTTAATTAATGTGTTGTCACTTGTTAATCTATTAGTTCTCTATTTTAAATTTATTAGACATCATCATTAATGTGATGTTATTTGTTAATGTATTTATTCTCTATTTTAAATTTAAAATTTAAATTTTATATTATTGTTTTCATTAATTCACAAATAAAAAATAAAAAATATCTAATATATGTTAAAAATTAATTTTACATATTTATTTGAATCAATGATTATAATTTCATATAACTAATAAAAATATATTTTAATTATTAATTTATTTAAAATAATTGATTAATAATTTTAAGTTTTTACTATAAAAGTTTAATCAATTTTAAAATCGTGGTTTCCACGGGTTATAAACTAGTAGTACATATATCTACCCAATTTCTATTTTTAAAAATATATCTTGAAAGTTAACACTTCAAAGTTTATATTATAAGTTTATAATATCAAAAGAAGACACGTAACCAAAAATCAATTTCTATTCTAGACAAATAGATCACTCATTTTATTATAAACTTATAATATATTATTGATTCTAAAACACATTACTACCCTAAAATGAAGAATGAATAAAAACGTTTATTGCATCAAATTTTCCTTTAAAAATAATACTTTCATCTTTCTCGTTGTTAATGTGCTTGGAAAAAATTCATATCATCATTTTCATACGGGCAAACTTACACGTCATCCCAATGGCACGATTCAAATGCTATAAAAGATATAGTTCCTCATATGTTTATGTTTATAACGGTCGTTAGATCATCTAAATGAATCATTTGTTTTAATTATGTAATATCCAATTTAAGAAATATGCTTAATTTGTTTTAAAATAATATATACTAATCAACTTGTTCACTTTATTATAAACTAAGTCATGAAATTTACAATTATGTTTGAGTTTATGTTCTTCAATCATTCGAATAAATTTCTTTTTCATAACCAAATTAACTTTTTGTGTATATATTAAAAAGTAAATAAATGGTGGATAAAAGTTGAACACAAATAAAATTTCTATAGAAGAGCAGGACCGCCTAAGGTGTCAGGGTGCGCGATAGCACAAAGCTTGTGTCGTGAAGGGGCCCATAATTTTAATTTTTCTGATTATTTTGTTACTAGTTTTTTGTTAATCTGTCGTTAATCCGTAGCAAATATGTGGGAATTTATTGTTAGTTAGTCCGTTCCTAATCCATCCATCGCTATATGTTGTATCCGTAGCCATTGCTAATATAAAGTTTTAAATGTCTATTTTTACTTTTTGCACGGGTCCTTCAAAATCAATAAATTATCAATATAAAAAAAATGTAAAGTAACATCTTTATTATAAAATAGCCGTTCATACACTAAAATAAACTTCACAAAATCATTTTTTTCTTCTTTTTTCTAAAAAATCTATTTTTATGAGATAATGATTGTCATTTCGTTAGAAAGAAAGAAATCATATTGTTTTTATAGTGAAATGATTTATCAAGCAATTTTGGAATTTGTATTATTATTTTATAAAAAATCCATTATAATCATATTGTTTTTGTAGTGAAATGATTTATAAAGCAATTCTGGAATTTGTATTATTATTTTAAGAAAAATCCATTGCGACCATTATATTTGTTTAGTGAATATTTACTTTATAAAATGGTATGTTTCAATGGATCTGTTCTATATGATGACTTGTTTCGATAAATCAGTTATATCCGATCTACTCAAGTTGAATCTAACTATTCACTTTTTCAAATATGAACCTGGATAATCCGAAATAAATTAAGATTCAATTCAAATCAACAAAATTATACTCTTATTGGATGATTTTCACAATTTAGTGTTAAAAAGTCATGGCATTAAAGATGTAAAACTTTTAACTTTAACAAGCTTGATTTTTCAACTTTAAATCCACAAATTATTATTCCATGACATCTTAATTAACTTTAATAAAGTAAATAAATAAAAATCTTACCTGCGAATCAAAATTTATACTAATAAAGGCTTTTTATTTCAAACATAGTTAAAAGATAGTATCAATGATAAATAAATCTTATACTATATTATAAAACATATTAGTTATATCTTGAATTTTAAAAGGTTTAAAATACAAAGCTTTTTATACAAATAAGTTATGTATAAACAAATCATTAGTCCTTATCAAGGGGGTGTTTGGATAGGAAAAAAAGAGGTGCTTATTGCTTATTTCCACAATAAGCTAATTTGAGTGTTTGGATAAAATTCAGTTTATTAGGCTAAATAAGCTAATTTTAATAAGCATCTCTCCCCATGCTTATTGTTTATTGTTTATTCCCACCACAAATAAGTTATAAGCAATAAGCTAAAAATCTAATCCAAACACCCTCCAAAAGGTTGAAGATTTGAATTAAGAAAGATTATTAAAAAATTTAATTTGAAGCAAGTGAACAGTTTTAAAATATTAAATTCATCTATATAAACTAATTTACATTTTTTAAAGTAGACACCGAAAATAATTAATTTTCATAAAATATATAAATATGCAATATAAATATTCTAAACATAAATATTTTATTTAAAATGATTATTTTTGTTTCCTTGTAAGAAAACTATTCGCCAAAGAGTTATTTATCATCGCTTTGTTCACATCTAGTTTATAAATAATTATTATTCAGTTTGTTTGTTTAGACTTTTGATTATTTTAATAGTAAAAGAAAAAACTAAAATACAAAATAATAATTCACTCAGATGAAAAACCAATCCAAGTATGAACATAAAATCCAAATTATCGGATAAAATTATCTCACATGTTCTGAGTATTTTGGTGATTATTTATGAAAAGTAGTTTATAAATTACCAACACAACATAACATGTTTGATATCTCTAAAACCGACATACGGTTCTTATTTCTGTGCATTTGTGATGATTAATAAGTTGTGTGCTCCTTCTGACAACAATGCTTTATAATGTGGTGAATTTCTTGTCATGCGCACCTCATCTTCCCCACCTTCTAATAAATCATTGTCCTCACCTTCTTCCCATCTAATTTTTTAACATCAACTTGTTAATTTCCTTTCCAAAATCTCCCATTCTTTGGTTGGTCCAAATTGCTATCATCGTTTTGTCATCAAACTATCGTTTTGTCATCAAATTGAACTAGACCGTTATGAAAAAGACCAAATAATTGTTCTTTTTCATAACAAATGACAAAGTTGGGTTTTTTTTTTAAACCAACAATCAGTTTTTAATAGAGTTTTCAAGAATACGTGAAGAAAGACTTGATTGATGTGAAAAACACTAAACCGATCTTTTTCACAACGGGTGGTTTCTTCTTAAACTAATCCTCGATCATGGGCTTTTAACAAACTTTCATAAAGGCACGAGAGAAGGGTCCCTAACAAATAACAGGTCATCAAATTGTTGTGAGAAAGACCAAACCGGACATTTTCTTCTGAAATTAACTCTCGATCATAGGGTTTTAACAGACTTTCAAGAAGGCATCAGGGAAAGGTCCTTATTACTAGATTGTTATGAAAATGTTCAAACAACCGGTATTTTTCACAACTGGTCAGGTTGGATTCTTTTGAAACCAACCCTGACTATGGCTTTTAACGAACTTTCATGAAAACAAGAATAACTGGTCTTTTTCACAACAATGACTGTCTGTATGTGTCTGTCTGTCTGGATTGGTTTATTCTAAAACCAACCCTTGATCATGATCATGAGCTCTTAACGAACTTTCAAGAAGGCATGAGGAAAGAAGGTCCCCTACAAATGATAAGTCACAATCTTCATTGGCTGTGTTTCATCTTATATGGTCCCAAATCCCCAACCAAATTCGGGGCAACGTACAATCAGTCCCGCCAGCCAGAAAAAGCACTAGGGAGAAATTAGGACCACTATGCACCTTCCAAAACCAAACACAAGTCATAACCAGACACTAAAAAACCTACACCTTTTCATGCATGAGGTACAACTCAACCTATAGCAAACACTCTATTAACCCATTCCAAAACCAAGCACGAGTGATGTACAAGTTTCATAGTACAAAGACACAACATACGTCCATTATACTCCCTCGTCTTTTTAGAAATTTTTAGAGAATGAGACAACATAATTGAAGACAAATAATCCAAGGGTGTAAAATGTAAATAGTTGTTTCAGAAGGGTCATTTTCAAGAATATGAAATTTGGCATTTTAAGCTTTTTTATGTGGGGCAACATTATAAATATGCATGACATTTTTTCGGTATCATTATTCCTTACAAACGTACCAAAATTCGCTAGGGAGTACAACACATAGTGTCACCATGTTCACAGGGCACAAAGCGACCTTATCTTCTTCTGTTATCCCATTTCAATGTCTATAACAAGATGACACGTGGCATACGTACAATTTAAGACCCGAAAGCTACATTATTCTACCAATTTTTCAGAGCGCCATTTACGCAAAAATACAGTTGGGATAATACAAATTTACAATAAGACCAAATTAATGGCACATGCCGAAGCATTATATTATATACCTATGGACCCTTGTTGCTATTGTTGCTAACAAGTAATGATTATGACTTCAAAATCATAATCAGATTAATCAAATTTATGTCGATTGCACTTTTTGCGATTTTAATTTTCATGTTTAGTAGTTAGTTATGTCATATGTGTAGCAACAAAAAAAAAAACATAAACGAGATAATAATTTAACTAAATAACTTTTTATTGATCATTTTGTTTACGACTTACATTAGTGAAAAGCTCTTGCGGGCTCATTGCGAAGAGGCTACCAAAGTTGTTATCTTCGGGTATTGTGGGCAGTACCCGAAGATGGTCATCCCAGATATTATATTTATATCTCGGATCATACACTGAACTCTCTAGGTTAACCACTTTCCTCTCTGCCCCAGGAGCCCGGGCCTGTGGGCCCGGGTTACTGACTGGTGCAACAGACAGTGACAGTTCCTCTTTGACCAGAGGAACTGTATTGCGTTTCACCGGGCTTTTGGCCCGAACATGTTGACTCAGGGACAATTCCGCGGACCTTTTCGGGGTCAAAGATGAAGGCGGTGACAATGGCGATGAAGGTGTCGAGTTACTGCTATGGCTACTCGACACTTCAAATTGGCTAATTAACCCGGGATTGGAACCGGACACGCGTTTCTTCTTTCTACGTCTTGATTTATCTTTTCCGGTTTTAACCGTAAGATTCTCGGGCTTTGCCGCCTCGACCTCCGCCACTTCCTTGGCAGTTTCAGGTGGTTGAACTTTCATTTTCACGGTTTTCGGTTTCGGGCAGACATCCGAAGAACAATCTACCTGCCCGGAGGGCATTTTAGACAAATCGCCATCTCGAATAACGAACGAAACCGTACAAGAACACGCCATGAAGATCAAAAACCCGAAAACCAAAGCCACAAGAACAAATTTCTTCAATTTCATCAAAACGTGAGACCTTTTGCATATCGTTAACATCGGTGTAGAAATCCCAACTTCCACAGGCACCACAAGGATCCCGCCCGACATCACAAACTCAAGTTCCCGGCGTACAATTCCCGCACAAAAATCTGCCCGAAACGACACCATAACATTCCGCGATTCCCCGGGCAGCAACCCGAACCCGTTACAATCCCTCACGAAAAACCCGTCCAACTCACACTTTGTCCCGGAAACCGAAACTTTCTCGACTTCCACGGGCAGGTCTCCGGTGTTCTTCGCGAAGAGAATTTTCACTGACCGCTGCCCGAACCCACGATGCTCGAGTTTCACGGTATGAACCGGAACCGGATCCGGATCCAGATCCGATCCGTTTAGTAAAACCAGACCCGGGGACCCACCGGAGCCCCGTAAGGATACCCATTCGACACCTGAAAGATTGTTTCTTACAAGAGCTGAACTTTTCCACTCACATCGACTCGATGGGTGGAAGAAAACAGGTCCCAGAATTGCTTTTTTGTGAGGGTGAACATAGGCTTCGGTTACTGCGTGTTGTGGGAGTGAGAACCCGTATCTTGAGGGGGTGATTTGGGAATTGAGGAAAGATGAGGGGTGAAGAATTTGATCCGATTTTTGGCAGTTGGTGATGATTTCTCCTGAGTTTAGAAGGAGTTGCATGATGACTGGTTGGTTGCTAGGGTTTATGACATTGATGTATTTTGATTGATGAGTGTTGACGTGGACAATTGGGAATGTGAGTTCCTTGTTGTTGTTGTTGATTACTGACATTTTGTTATTGGTTCCTTGAGATTTCCAGTTTCCTAGTACTGATTCATCGGATTTTGTTGTTTCTGTTACCTTCAAAAGTAATAAAAAAAAAAAAAAATTAGGGTTAAATATGTCTTTTCCCAATATATGCAAGAGTGGTTTTTTAGACGAAATATGCAATCATGTTTCATTCCATGCTTATTTATGCAAAAGTGTTTAACGTTTTATCAATTAATGCAACAAATGTTTCACTTTTTCCCCCAATTTATGCACGAAAGTTTCACATTTTCCTAATTTATGCAATAAAGTGGTTTCTTAGATGAAATATCTTGTTGGATAAAAATATGCAACATTGTAACAAAAATATGCAACAAAGCTTCATTCAATAAATGATTGTTTATTCAAGAATGTTTCACTTTTCTTTTACCAATTTATGCGATAATGTCTCACCTTTTTACCTATTTTAGCAACAAACTTTCACATTTGTTTTTCTAATTTATGTAACATGGAACATTCTAACCAGAACTATAATATTTCACTTTTTTAACAATTTATGCAACAATGATTCACTTTTTTAACAATTGATTTAAAAATGTGTCACTTTTATTACCAATTTGTTTAACAATATTTCACTTTTTACCGATTTATTCAACAATGGTTTCACTTTTTTACAAATTTATGCAACAATATTTCACTTTTTTTACCAATTCAAGCAAATAATATTTCACCTTTTTACCAATTCATGCAACACTAATTTACTTTTTTTACCAATTCATGTAAAAATGTTTCGCGTTTTTTACCAATTAATCCAACAATATTTCACTTTTTTTACCAATTAATCCAACAATATTTCACTTTTTTACCGATCTATTCTACAACGTTTCACTTTTTTACAAATTTATGCAACAAAATTTCATTTTTTTTACCAATTCATGCAACAATGTTTCACTTTTTTTACCAATTAATCCAACAATATTTCACTTTTTACCAATTTATGCAACAATATTTCACTTTTTTACCGATTTATTCAACAACGTTTCACTTGTTTACAAATTTATGCAACAAAATTTCGGTTTTTTTTTTACCAATTCATGCAACAATGTTTCACTTTTTTTACAATGCAATTTTTACCAATTTATGCAATTCACACGTATTACACATCCATAATTCAACCAGTTAAACACATTACCACATAATTTGGGAAGAAAAACGTGAATCTTCATTGCACAAATTCACATTTAACCCTAAATTTAAACCAATTATATAACTAAAAACAAGATTATAACAAGAAACATGAAAAGAAATTACATACCTTGATTCCCAAAAGTGGTAATACATGATCCACATTGTCATAATTCAACACTCCATCTGATTTTTCCCAAGAACAAAGCCCCACAATATCACTACAAGAAATCTCAAGCTTAGGAGCATCCGATTTATTAGTTTCCACAAGTAACTTGCAATGCAAGTTTGCATCTTGATTTACAACATATGTAACTATTCCCACTTGTGTCACACTATATGGAAACAATATCAATCCTTCAACAAATTTAGTCTTTAAAGACTCAAAATTGTCACCAATTTCACGAATCTTGAAAACCTTAACCACTTCCGGACCATCATTTTCCACCATAAGAGACACAGTAATCGTCCCATTTGCATCACAAGGGACTAAAACATTGAGAGAAACCAAAAGACGAGATTGCCCTCCAAATTCTTCTTCAACAACAAGTGTATCCAAATCTTGTAATTGGACACAAAAAGAACCGAATACGGTTTTTGCTTGTGAATTATACGGAAACTCTAACTCCAAGATTGGCTCATCCCAGTTCGATCCAACGGTCCATTTTTGTGGTCTAATCGCGATTATGGGTTGACCCGTTTGACCATGTTGACCAATTTTGACTTCTAACCACTCCTCGAAGCTAAATTTATCCGAATCATTGTGATCTTTTACACTGCAAACACCCTTTATGGAATAAGAAATGTTTCCGGAAGAAAACGATACCCGAAAACTTACTTCTTTCAAATGCAACACTTTTTCAGAAGGATTGAAGATTGAAACAAAATTGTTAAATTTTCCACTAACTGAAGGGTGAATAGTGTAAGGAGATTCAATTGCAAATCCACGGGTTTGAATCAAGAATCCACCTAAGTTTGTTTGTAGTATGAGGTGACCCCAAGATAATCCTAAAGATTTGGGGAAAAATATGAAACATATGGAAGCGATTTCACCAGGGCTGAGGTTAAATTCAGTGTTGTTGCAAGGGTAGAATTGTAAATTGGTACTGTATGGTTCGAAGATGTTCAAGAAACCATGGCTTTGTAGATTTTGGAGAGTTAGAAAGGTTATGGATGGGGAATGAAGATACTTTTGTCCCCAATCGAGTATGTGATGACTGATTTGTATATGGGGTGATGAAAAATCATTCACATGAGTTGATTTGATTATGAAAGATTCATCTTTTGTGTCATTTTCATCAATTTGGGGATTTTCTTGATATTCAAGTGAACAAGAAACTATGTTTCCATTTGGTAACTGAAAGTTACCATGGTTGGTTGACCAGGTGAGGTTATTGACTGATGGTGTTGACTTTTCAAGTACTGGTTTGACCCGAGAAAGACCTGAAAGATTTGCCTCTTGAGTAGGAAAATCGGTAAAGAAACTGGATAATGTTGATGGAAAACAGAATAAGTCTGAGCGTTTACAGATGTTTTCAAGGGTTAGTTTTGGTAATGAAGTTTGAGGTGGAATTTGGTTGCTATTCTCACCAGAATTCAAGTCATAGGCTATTGGATTGTGGGTCCCGGTTATAGTACATGGCCCGAAAGTTGAAAGGGCAAAAAGGGCACATAATGTAACAATCTTGAAATGCAAAGCTTCAACATCATGGTAAAAGCCCCTGATGAAATAGGATAAGAACACACACAAACATTAGTAAAACATATAGAAAGATGGTGTGTTGTATGCAATAAAAGATCCCAAATGATTCAATAACATTATGGGAAGAATTTGATAAAGGTTTTTAAAGAAGCTATTAATAGAAAAATTGGTGGGGGTGACCTGTAAATTTAGAACAAAATTTGAAACATAAAATTACTAAATTGATACAAATGTCAAAGTGGCGCTTCTTCTGAGTTCTTTCCCAAATGGAGTGAGATGTTAATATGTTATGTATCTGAGTGCTTAGTAGCTTATGATGTTCATAAGATGGTGATTGAATAGTTAAACGAAACGACGATTAAACAGGGAAATCAACTCCTCCTGATTTTGTGGAAGTTCGAAACAAAATCTCCATTTAATATTCTAAACTTATGAACCCAAATAACGATAGCGAGGAATCCCTAAATTTGATCGATTTAAGAAGTAAGTAACAAACGGTAAAACTATTGATGATCGTTAGAGAGCATATTAACAGCGAAAGGCTTCAGTTCAACTAACTATGCTACTTCAAGAAACTACAAAACAACACCACAACCACGAAAACGAAAACATTGATCAATCATGAAGCGAAGAACAGATAACGGATGGAGTTACCGATGGTATAACATGGCGGAAAGCTTTGTGCTATTCGAACTGCTGATGATCAAGAGCTGCTGCTAGGTTTTTAAAAGACTAATCTTTCGTACGCAAAATGAAACATCTGATAAAGTTTTTCTAGGGTTTGTGAGGGTTTTTCAAGCTCTTTTTCCCATCAAATATACGCTTAGAAAAGAAGCGCAACTCAAGAACACACACTCACACCTTTTTACACACACTGATAAAACACCCAATGGCCTCGAAGAACGAAAGGGGAAAAAAATAGAAAATGAAAGAGGAAAATGGCTCTTTGGAAATTACGCAAATACCCTTGGGAAATGCTTAGGGTACGTTTGGGATTAATGACCAATTAGCATAGGTTGCTGTGAGAAGAGGTGGTGCTAAGATAGGTATTACGTAGGGGTGGCAGGAAATTAAAAATATTAATTATTTATTTAATTATTTAATTCAATTGTTTGAGCTTTGAGGGTTTTGTAAAGACACATTGTCACGGTTGTTTTACATAAATTGTAATATGAATTAGTTCAAAACATGAAAGTTTTACATAAACGTTACTTTTGATCTTTTCAAAAAAAAAAAAAAAATTGTATCATTTCAAACTTCTAATTAAACCCTAATATGAATCATATCAACCAAGTTTTGATTTTGATTTTGATTTTTTTGATTTTTTTTATAATTTTTTATATAATCTATTATTATTATTATTATTATTATTATTATTATTATTATTATTATTATTATTATTGATATTTTTTCCTATAATATTCTTTTTATGTTGTACAAAAAGTTGTTCAGATTTATACAATCATTCGGTGTTATATAATCGTTCCAATAATTGATAGACTTCAAATTATTATTAATATTAATTCTTATTTCCAATAACAATGAAAATTAGTTAACAATTTATATGTAACACCCGATTCAAGTTACTTTTCATTTTTTTACTCTTGGTGTGTTTATAGTTTGCAAATTTGGTCCTAAGGAGGCATTGCTGCCATTTTCAGAAAAGTGGGTGTACATTGGGCGTACGCACCCTTGGGAAAAACCTTGATTTTTAGGGTTTGGACTATATTTAAGCAACATTATGACCCATGATCTCCTCATTTCTCAACCTCCATTACCCTTTGAGCCTCATTTCGAAACCCTAGCCCCTCTAGAGAATATTTGACCCTCTTTGTGTGTGTTTTAGTGTGTGTTGGTGAGCTTTGAGGAAGAAGAGCCTTAAAGAAGGAGCTTTGATCAAGGGAGAGCTTGTGATCCAGATTCTACTCATCATTTCCAACTTCATTGAGGTATAAAGATTGGAACTTGCTCATTGTATGCTTAGATCTAGTCTGTATGGAGTTTTGGTCATTTTTGGTTCCATGAATGAGATCTAGTGGGAATTCTTCCACTCCAGAAGTTAGGAGTTGCTTATCTTGATGTTTCTGAGGTCCCTAGCCCATAAAGTTAGCATCCTGATGGTTGTGGATCAACATGCATGTATTTATGTCCATTTGCGAAGTAGAATGCTAAATCTAGGGTTTGAGTTCATTTGAGCCATGCAAAGGCTCCAAGTTGATGACTTTATGAATTAAGACGTTCCACAAGGTTTAGATGTGAAGTTTGGACGTCTGGTTGCAAGCATTAAGTACTTAAAGAAAAAAGTGCTTAATGGGCGCGTATGTTGGGTGTACGCCAGCGTACGTATTTAGTCCCCGATTAGGCACACGTCCTAGTACACCGGGCGTACACCTGGTACGCGCTGCGTAGTAGGCCTGGTCTTGGGCTTTGTAGTTTTGGACCATATTTAGACTATTAGGGTTTTGGGCCTTGTTAAGCCACAAGCTTTTTTGACTTTGGGTTATTGTTAGGTTTTGGGCCTTTTAGATTTGGGCCCATTTTGGGCTTTAGGTAACCTTTAGGAAATTAGGCCACCATTGGGCTTTTAGTGCCATTGAGTTTGGGCATCGGATATTTGGCCAAGTGACGAAATGGTAAAATGGTCTTTTACCCTGGGTGTTTGACCAATAAACTAAATTCCCGGTTATGGATTATAACCCAATTTGTGACAACCCGAAATTTCTATCTTGTAAAGTCAATCGATCCAATCCAAAGTCAGACTAGTATCTATTACCATTCAGCCTTGCTAAGGGTTATTCTAAGATTTTTTAAGCCTTGTACACTTAGGACTTACTACTATGAAGTGTGAGTAATGAATCTATGAATTTCAAATTGAGCCAAGAACATCCATCAATGGATGTTTACGGCTCAAACTAGGTTTACGGTCGTAAACCCCTCTCTACCTGTATAGATTTCCTTCATTATTTCTTCATTATCACATCTTTAAGTCAAGAACTTTCAAACTCTCTCAAGTATCATCAAGAACACTCTTCTTTCTCTCTAAAATCGTAAGTGATTCTTCCATTTTTACTTGATGTCCTTTTTATTCATGTAAAGCTCTTTGATTTCATCCATGAATTCCACACTTTTGATTTAGATCTTCAAATCATCATCTTTTCACCAAGAACACACACTTGTTCTTAGGCCGTAAACTTCCTAAAAGCTTCCGAAACGTAAGTATCTCTTCTATCATCTTGTTATCCGATAGAAGCTCTTGAATCCCCATGAAACAAATACCCTTTAAACATGAATCAAGCACCAAAGTTGTAGGATCTTCAAGAGTTCACGGCCGTGAACCCTTCATGTGGTCGTGAACCCTTCATAAGATCTTGATATTGTCGTGAACCCTTCATCCATGGCCGTAAACCCTTATTAATGCAAGTTTGGACCATAAAACCTTCAAAGGATCAAGCCTTGGGCCGTAAACACTTCATGTGTGGTCGTAAACTCTTCTATGGCCGTAAATACTTATAGTGTGGTCGTGAACACCCTTTCATACAATCATATGTGATCGTAACACTTCATTTCAAGTGTTTCCTAGTCCCTAAGGATGTTTCCCTTACATGTTAGTTGTTATAAACACTAATTGTATGCCTATATATGTGATTATATGCCTAATAGGATCCATTTGTGCTTCGGGGCTTCATTTGTGATCTTAAACATCCTATATCTATTGATGTGTGTAAAATGCACTGGTTTTAATCCTACTTTTAAGTTATAAATTTAGCACACAAAGGCAGTGAACCTGTCTTTTAGTGGTATAGATGGATAAGTAGAGTGTCGAACTCAGGGAACGGAAATTAAACTAATAACTAATTTTAACTAAGCAAATAATAAAAGTAAAGGTTTTTTCTCTAGTTTTACAAGACTAGAAACTTAAACAAAACACCTAACACGGGATTTAGCTAAAAACTAACTAGTAAAAATTCACCAAATTTTGATAAAGAGCTTCTGTTTAGGTCCAACCAATTCACTCCTATGATTATTTTTATAGTAATGTGATATATTAATTGTTATTGGTTACCAACTATAGTGGTTAGATTCAAATTCACTAATACTAACCCTTAGATAATTAATTAATTCATGCAGTGGCCAATTTTTTAACTAATTAATTCCCTAGTTCAATTATTTGGATTAAATAAGAATTGTAATTGGTTAATCAAGTGGGTGATTCAATTAACCTCTTGTTTGTTGGTTTCTCAAACAAGCTCACACATTAATTTACATATTCTCTTATTAATTCTAGTTTCATGTTCATTATTCCTAGTCGTATGATAAAGTAGTCACATAAACATATAAGGTTAACAACTAAGAGATGTTCATGCAGCTTAATTGTCTTCCAATTAACAGAAAATAGTTGTAATCAATGCATAAGGTTCTTTAACAAACTTAATTTAATGAAATCACCAATAAACAATAAACAAAAGTATCAATTAAACCATAGGAGTACTTTGGTTCTTCCTAAACAGAAACCATCCAAGTTTTAGCTCATGATTACAAGAAAAGCAGGCTCAAAAACGAATTTGATTAAACTAAACATAATGCAATCCTAAGATTAAGTGGAAAATATAACCTAATTCACTTCCAAACTTCAAAAGATCAAAGATTAGGGTTCTTCAGGTCTTCAAGGGTTTCTCCAATCGTAGCTCTATCTCTAAGGAAGCCAGAAAAGTCTTTAATTCGGATTAAGACTCCATATTTATAGTTATCACAAAACAGGGGCTACTCGGCGAGTAGGTCGTGGATTCGCCGAGTAGATGCATGGAATCCATGTACGGGATTTTTGACTTTTCTTCGGGAACATTATTACGAACTCGCCGAGTTGGTGTGTGGACTCGCCGAGTAGATGTGTAATTTTTCCTTTTTCTTCATCCTTTGGTCTCTAATTGCTCCTCCTCACTCCTTTTTGCTCCAAAGTTGTCTCTTGTACTGAAAACACAATTTAAGCATCATTAAGTACCTTTTGTCCATATTATGCATATAATTAGCTAAAAATGAATAAAAATACATGTTAAACATATGGCTAATTATGCAAATATCAAAATAGCCCACACTTGACTTTCGCTTGCCCCCAAGCAAAACTGAATTTTAGCACATTAGAATCACATAGGACAACTCCAATCGAACCCAACCATTATGCCAATACCGCAATGCATGCATTTATGTCTAAAATTTTCCTAATAACCCCCCATAGTCCAAATACTTACAATCCTCATAAACATTCACCCACTTATCCCGAACAATGCTCATTTTATGCATCCCTCTGAATCCATCCATTGAAAACCTCCTATCCTCAAGGTATTTTTGGTTGAGCAACCCAAGCATACATAATCTAGAAATTACAATTTATGATACCACTGTGGAGCTCTTTTTGGAATTCTTCACTTCTTTGATAATTTGTCTTTGATCTCTTTGAATTCACCACCTTCTTTATTTGATTTTTCTGGTATCTTCAACTTTTTGAATCTTCGGAATTTTGATCTTCTGATCTTTACTTTAACTACTCCAAAATTCTTACAACTTTTCTTGTAATTCTCTTTTTTTACATGTAACTCACTTTTTTTTTCTTCACTCAAAACCCTACATGCTTAAGCAGGGGCGCTCAACTTCAACCTTTATTGGCTAAAGATAATAATTTTCCTGATACATGTTTGGTACACGATGCTAAAGATATTGCATCCTTCAAACTAAGCGAGGGCGTGTTTTTGTCCCATTATTTCACTGGAATAAGGAAGCCACAAATGTACTAGAACGTATATAGGCTCAACTAAACATTTGGGTTTTCATGCAATCATTCACACAATTCTAACATGGAATCCTAATTACTTTTTACCAAATTTTGTCTAAATTAAATCCTAAGTGTATTTGGCATGCAAAATTTTTTAAAAAGTAAGATATTAGGATTCTAAATTTACTAAGATGTAACCAACTCCCCACCCCACACTTAATTCATGCAATATCCCCATTGCATGT